GGTCCGTCTTGCTCCGCACCTAGTTCGACCATTTTTTCCCAAAACCAGGGTCCCTTTTCCCCCCCCGCTCACAAGGTGGTCGCCCTTGGGACCCTACCTGTAGTCTTTTAGGCTTAAGGGGAGCCCGAGACCTCATGGCAGCCCTCGAATTGCGTGCTGCTACCTGCAGCCCCCCACCGGTGCCGCGGCTCATGGGGGTTGTGGCTGCATGGAGCCGCATGCTGGTGCTGCAAAGCATGCTTCTCGGAGTTGAGGCCCAAGGCCGTTCGGGGGCCGTGGCACGTTTCGTGCCCGGCTATGACTTGCCTCTGCATCGTCCTATGCATCCTCGCAGGCCTTAGCATCTGCTCGGGCTACACCCTCGGTGTGTGGCGACGGTCCAGCCTGCGTGAAGCCACCGTGTTCCAGAGCTTCGGGCCCCCAGGAGCCTCAAGTTCGGGGAGCTCAGCCAGCGCGAGCACGGACCCTTGGGCAGTATTGCGGAATGGAACCAGCGTGCCGCTCCTGCAGAAGCAACTGCGGGCTCAACTATAGCGAGCAAAGCGAGGCTCAGACTGGAGGTGGAGCTACTTCCTCCACCTCCCTTCCGGGTGCACCCCCAAAAGCGCCACCGCCGACTCAAGCTTGGCTGGCTAATACAGACCCTGCGGCTCGTATCGAGCCCAGGGCACCTCAATTGCAACCTGCGCCAGCACCGGGAGGAGGGGAAGACGATTTCCCCCCTCCCCCAGCGATTGTGGTCACCTCTCAGGGCTCTGTGTGGCATTATCGCAACTGCCCCCGAATCCGAGGACGGGAAGTCCACTCTATTGCTGCCTGCCGGGATTGCAACCCAGGGGTAGATCCCACAGCATTCGAAGCTACTCCTAGGGGCAGCGCTTATGCTGGAACGGTGCCAGCTTTGCCATGCCCAACTCCTTCGACGCAACCCCATTACCGCCCGTCGTCGTCGGCCGCCTCCGGGCACCGATGATGCGGCGCGTGATACCAACCATGCCATCGCGCATCCCTTAAAAGAAGCCGAGGCACGGGAGCGATTCGGGGTTTGGGCATTTGGCCTCTTCCTCGGGGTTTTCGTTCTCTCCCTCGGTGTCTGCCTGTTTCTCTTCCGTTCTGGGCCCTGGAAAGCGGAAGAGAACCCAGACTTTGCGGCTAGACCCGAGTTCCCCTCTCGCAGGGTCGGTGGCAGGAGCTTCAGCCCTCCCCCCGCGGCTCGCTACGAGCCCGGGGAAAGTAGCCCTCGAGCCCTCCCATGGAGTGCAGGAAAGCGGGTCCGATTCGCGGAAGAGGAACCAGAAGTGTTCTCGCCTTCTGTGAACGGGTTCCCTCGTCGAAGCGCAAGCGAGCCAAAGCTGTCCCGCCTCCAGCGTCAGAGATGCGCAAGCGTCCTGACTTGGTACAAGTCCCGCATTTGCAGGGACCTGCGGGTGCCAAGGCACGTTGGCCAGCCGCTACGGTCCTGCAGTTCGGGGCGGTGGGGCCAGATGATTGGGGGGCCACTGCTCTTTGCTACATAAAAGCCAGATTGGCCACCTCCACTCAGCGTCTCTATGCGTCTCATTGGACCTGGTGGGCCCTATTTTGCCCCCGGCGAGGGATATCCCCGTACCGGCATGTCCCGAGCTACAATGAAAGCGAGGAATCATTATTTCTCGGCTTTATTCTACATACGTCGCTCAACGGCCTCCGATCCCACGGCACTATCAAGATGAGGTTGGCGGCGATCCGGTCAGAACACCTGACGGTCGGCTTGCCCAACCCGCTTGCACAGTTTCCTCGGATTCCGCTGGTGCTCGATGGGATAAAGCGTAAGTACCCAGCGCTTGAGAGGCGGCACCCAGTTACGCCTGCCATGCTCTTGGCAGCAACTAGGCTGCTGCAGCATGAAAAAGATGGCCCAGTGATTGTGCTTGCGCTCTTCCTGGGTTTCTTTTTTCTCCTCAGAGCCTCAGAGCTAATAGGAGATGCCTGGCATGGACAAACTCGGGGCCTTCGAGGCTGTGATGTGGTCTTGCTCCGCGGCGGGAAACCCTGCCCGGAGAAGGAACTTCACTTGGCCGACGAGCTGAGAATTTTCATTCAGAGCTCGAAAACCGACATATATAATGCCGGCGCTTCGCGCAACCATTTTGCCACGGGCCTGGAGCTTTGCCCCGTTCGGGCTGCAATTAAAGTTTTCCAGCTCTACCCGCAGAGATACCCCGGAGGTACCGAGCAGGATGAGCACCTTCTCCGAGGGGAAAAGGGAGATCTCCTCACTAGGCAGTTTCTGCAGCTGGTGCTTCAGCAATGCGCAGAACATGTGGGTGAATCCCCTTTGCTCATCAAAGTGCACTCCTTGCGCTTTGGGGGTGCGAGCGCCCTCGGGTCTAGGTACCAGAATGCCGAGCTCATCAAGAGGTACGGCAGGTGGACTTCTAACGCCTACCAATCCTACCTCTGGGAGTCGCGTGAGTCTGCTCGAGGGGTCGCTGAAAGTATGGCACTAGCAGACTTGACCCCCAGCTAGTCGGGCGTCTTGCTTTCTCCGGCTATAACCGCGGTGCGTTTCGCGCCCGGTTCCCAGGGGCCTGGATCTCAATTTGTGTATCCATTTACGGCCTCCTTTGTTTTCTTTGATATAAGGTTCTTTTATAGACCCCTTTCCCGAGGCGAGTTTCTCGCCCGGGCCTCCCCCTTCGGGGGGCTATTCTTCCTTTGCAGAGGGGGGTGGAGCAGCGAAGCTGCAAAGACGACTTCGTTCGTCGCGCGCTGCCAAAAAGGTTGTGAGTGCTTCGGAGTGTAGGAAACGCAATGTTTGCTTTTCGCTTGACATGCGTCTTCGTGTTCATGTTGGTCTTGGCCTGAATTGCATGCACTCATCCCGAGGAGCAAGGTGAAGCGGGTGAAGGTTGCCAACCATGCTAGTTTCAATCTACTGCTTCCCACGTAAGAGCCTCATCAGGCCGTAACAGCGACTAGCGTGTCCAAATCCCGAGTTTTAAGCGATTCCAAACTGTAAACGTCAAAGAAACATGCTGTCAACTTTTCCGAAAAGAAGCGCGTTTCGTGTGCCAGGCGCGGTAGATTCGACGGTAAACGTTTGGTTTCACAGGCGCAGGCGCAGTTATCCCCCCATGGGGTTGTTTTCAATCGTCGCAGTCTTCCTGATGTGTGTCAAAACGTAAGTGTGACACATGGGGGTTGTGAACGGACATCGAAGTCTGGTCCATTCGGATGACCGGTTTGCCGAGCAATGTATGTGAACCATGAGTTCCACCTTGTTGGCGCTACCATGCAGGCCACAAGGAAGCCGTGGTTCTGTCATGCAGACGACATGCTGTATTCTTTTTAGCAACATAAGACGAAGCCATTCACACTCCTCAACATCATCGGCTATATCAACAAGCTCGAGGTGTGGGGGGTGTAGTCGATACCAAACCCACAAGAATATCTAATTTCTGTATACCTTCTTTTAACCGTAAACCCAAGTCAGAAGCGTAAGCAAAACCCTAAACCCCAAACCCCCACAACCACGCCACAGGGGGTAGTGGGACCCCACGCCCACACCAAACTGGGACGGGGGGCACCACCCTATATCCGGACCATTAACCTTTGGGGGGGAGGGGGGGAGCGGAGAGCGTGACCATATATGGCTTTTTTTGTCGTATATATACCCAGAAGATTGTTTATGCTAGACAAAATCGGATCATAAAATTGTTCTTCATTGACCCACCAGCCCACGGCTTTTGACGGTGTGAAACGTATTCTGACATGCTTGAACTGCCTTGCCACATTCCATTGAAGTTTCAGTTACGGCCTCGACTTGGCATTGAGACAAGCCACAACAACTGGCACGGGATGCCGCATTCTTGCGTTGCGACACCGCTGGTGCGCCATGGAGTGCCGCTCACACCGGCATCTATAAGCGTCCTTTTCAGGTAATGATTGTCATTGATTTCCAGCCATGCGAGAGGGAAAAAAAAATGATTGAGCCCATACACAGGTGCACGCAGCAGCCAATACGTCCCATGTGCCAGGTGTTGACATGGTACTTATGCCAGCGTGGCGTGGCTTGCATCGGGAGCATTGCAACAGTCAAGCTGATAAACACTGACAATTACACCAATGCACCGACACTCCTTCCTGTCGCTCATGTGTTGTGAGGGTTGGTCTCGTTCTTCATGAAAACAGCGGCGAGATGCATGTGACAGTCGCAGCTTGGAGGTCGTCACGCAAGAGGGAGCGGAACAGTGATCCCAATACGTCGCAGCCTTTGTCACACATGCACATTCTGCCACACGCGCCGCCAACGCAATGCAGATTGCATGGGCTGCCGCCAACAGTAGGCCTGTTGAACCCGACAGGGCCTGGGCTACAGTACCGTACCATTTTGAGATGGGGTTGTCTTGCAAGCTTTTGCCGAGACACGCCGCTGAACTTGCGATATGCATTTTGCTCGCGGCAAGCCGCTCGAGCATGTTCCGCAATTCCGAATGTGCGAGACCCAAAGTGGTAGTGTGGATCAAACTGGCGAGTGTGGCTCGCAAATGCATCGTTGAGAGCATGTGCGACGACGCAGCCCCAAACAAACGCCGTGGCTCGCCGGCCACCGGTCGCCGAGAACGGGCGAACCACGCAATGAAAGAGAGCCATTATCCCGCTGAGTTTGAGTGTTGGCGGGCGGGTTGCAGCCATTCCTGATATTAAGCCCTCGCGCTAAAGCCTTTCAGGCGTACGTTGGTGAGTGTTACAACTGCGATGCTAGGCGTAGGAACCGTGTCGAGAAGAATCGGGCTGAGAGCCGATCAGCCGTCGCCGCACAATGCGTGCACTATCGGCGTTGACCACGTCCCGATGAAGTTCAGTGGTGGGTAAAGTCACATGGCACGGCTTGTTTGGCCCTTCGAACAGGGCCGCAACGCAAGACGCTCTGCCAGCTTGCGGAGCTCATGCTCATGGAACCAGCAGGGTCTGCGGTCATGTGATGTAGATGATTTGCTGCGGCATCTTTCGACGAGATGGTTCGAAACTCGAACCCATGCCGTCTTCTCATGTGCCCAGCCCCTGAACGCAGCATTGACATACAGGTGACGCTAGAAGCTTTCGTGCAGCTGCTCGTTGATTTGAGTAGCTTGATTATCTCACCGAAAAGCGTTTCGTCAAGGTCTTGCCCAGCAAGTGAATGTGGTGGGCACGATTGCGAAGACACGACCGCGGAAGGCACCTCAGACGATGGGAGTGACCATGATGAGTTCGTGCAGCCCATGTCGCTGTTGCTTGGCCGCATAAGTAGGCCGTAGAGTCAGTAGAGTCAGTAGAGTCAGTAGAGAGGAGAGTGTTGGGGGAGTTCGGGATTCGCGCAGGTTTCCGACACCCGAGAATTCGCCGCGCTCCTTGGAGTCCCCGTCGTGGAGCTGGCACTCGCTCGGAGGCCGAGGAGGAGGAGCTGCTTTTTGTGGCGCGGCGGCGGCGGCGCCCGCGGCGCAGAGCCGGACATGCGAGCGGACTCGCCTGAGCAGCCAAGCGGCGCCCTTCCAACCGCCGGCGGGCGCAGCCCGGGGCCATGGCCACAGTGGCCACAGCACCGCCTTCTACGCAGCGGCTCAGCAGGAAAAGAAGAGACTGTCTCTCGGCCTCTCTCGGCCTCTCTCGGCCTCTCTCGGCCTCTCGCCTCTTGTGCCTGAGGTTCCCTCCACCCGCTATGTGACCCCGGCGCCAGTGCCGTCGAATCCGTCGACGGCGTGCTCCTACCAAAAGGCTTCTTGTCCAGATCCAGACACCGGCGAGGCTTCGAGGGGATTCTAGCCGCCGCCTTTCGCGTCTCAGGCGACTTGGAGCTGGGACGAGGCGGCTACCAAAGTACCGCCCGTAATCCTGGGATCCGACATGCTTCCGAGCCTTGGATCGGGTGGTCACGCCACCGGCGAGTGCAAGCCCTGCGCATTCTTTTACAAGAAGAGTGGTTGTGCCAGTGGACGGACTTGCCTCTTCTGCCCGGAGCTCAGCTTCAGTCTAGGGGTTGGGCGTGCGAAACGTCGCGGTTCGGCTGCGGACAGGCCACTTGTGCGAGAACGGGGAGAAGAAGCGGCGGCAGCGCGAGAAGCAGCTGCCCGAGAAGAGTTAGCGCCTGCTTTCCTTTTTTTCAGTCTCTGTCTGTCTCTGTCTCTCTCTTCTTGCGCTCCGCTCGGCTGCTTTGGTGCTCCGCTATAGGAAGGACGGCTTCACGAAGCCCGCCGGCTCGGGGTTTGGGCCTGGGCCCCTTGGGAGCCTGAGCGCCCCTGCAAGATGAGACGACTGAGCGGCGCTTCTTCCACCTTTTTCAGCCTTTCGGCCTCTCTTTAAACGAGTTTTGGAACCTCAAAGTTTTGAGTCGGCTCCGAGCTCGGCTGGGACCCCTCCTTCTCAGCTTCTCCCCAGTGCGCTGTGCATCAGAGTGATCGAGCAGCGCAGCCGGAAGAAGCGGAGGGAAGGGTCAAGGGTCAAGTGGATGAGCATGATTAAACAACATGGTCATTTAGTCAGAGGAAGCAGCTATCGGCCGGATCCTGATTCAGCTTGTCGGATTCAACGGAATCTGATTTTTGGATGCATTCGGAGCAGCTCGGAATCAAGGATGAGAAAACGTAGAAGCTCAGACTTCACCACCTTCAGAGGAGCGTTGATGTCACAGGTTGAAAGTGCCTGCGGCTTTCTGCACACCTCCGTTTGCTGCTGCCTGCACGGCTGGGCCCATCTTTAGGACGTGGCCCATGCTCGAGAACCTAGCGTGCTTCCGGGTCCGGCCACTTGTGCCCTGACATGCTTGTTGCGATGTGAGGTTGTCGTGCTGTCCTTTGCCTTTTGTCCATCGCAAAGTGGCCTGACTCGGCTCTTGCCCGTTTCAAAGCAAAAAGCCCCTTGCATATGGAGCAAAAGACAAACTCCCCCTTCTCTGCACTTCCTTTTGTCACTGTTGCGCAGTTTTACCTATGGGGTTCTTGCTGGGGCGCATGGCAGCCGCAGCCGCCGCAGCCGCAGCGGATCGAATGGCTTCCGACTTAGAAGAGGCCTTGGGTGCCCTGGGCCTCCTCCGCTTCCTCCCCAACCTCCAGAACCTTGGGCTCCAATGCTTGAGCCAGGCGCAGTGTTCTAGCCGGCGCTCTGCACTGCACTGCACTGCACTGCACTCTCTCTCTCTCAAAGTCTCTTCTCTCTGCTGCGGCTCTGCTGCGGCTCTGCTGGTGTGGCAGGTGGGCGAGCTCTGGACCTCGGACCTGGCGGAAGCGGGCCTCACTCGCCTGCAGACCCGGCAGCTCCAGAACTGGGCCTCCCGATCGCGTCGGGCCCGCCGAGCCTTGGAAGCGGACGCTCAAGCGAGGGAAGAAGGAGCCGGAGCCGGAGCGGAGGAAGCGGAGGAAGCGGAAGCGGAAGATGCGGAAGCTGAGCCGGCGGAGGCGCCGGCTTCCGCTGTCTTCAAGCCTCAGCTTAAGCTCGTGGCGGAAGCGGGAGCGGAAGAGTTCGCGCAGCGGAGGGGCCCTTCTTCTGACCGAGCGGCGATCGTCTGGGCAGCCCCGGCCATGGCGGAAGCGGCGGCGGCGGCGGCGGAGGAAGCTCAAACTCCTCCGCTTTCTTCTTCGGCGCCCCCGGCCGCCGCGGCCGTTTCCGCGGCGGCCTCTTCCGCTTTCGTGGCTCCGGCGGAGAGCTTCTTTCGGGTGGACTTGGCTTCCGGCGGCGACTTCGACTCGCCCTCGGCGAAGCTGCCGGAAGCCCTGAGGAGGCGCCTGGAGATGCGGCGCAGCACGCGGCTGACGACCCGGCTCTCGAAGAGCAAGAGCGAGCAGCAAAGAGAGCAGCAAAGCGAGCAGCAAAGCGATCAAAGCGAGCAGCTGGAGGCAGAGTGGAAAGCGGCAGAGGCAGAGGCAGATTGGAAGCAGACTTTCTCGTCACGCCTCGGCCGGACTCGACCGGGGGAGGGGGAGGAGGAGCCGTTCTTTGAGGAAAAGGCCCAGCGGCCGGCCGTTCTGAACCTGAAAACCCCGCGGAATCGCCGGGGCCCCGCCGCAGCCGCAGCCCAGCCTGCCCAGCCTGCCCCGCATGCCGCTGCCACGCATGCAGCTCCGCCTGCGGCTGCTGCCACTGCGGCTTCCTCTTCGCCTTCGGAGCCTCGGCAGATGTTCGACAAGGTGACGCTGCGCTTGCGACACCGAAAGCTCTTCATCCCAAGCATTGAGAACTGGAAGCACCGGCAGACGAGACTCGTCTCTGACACCTAATGGACGTGGACGCTTTTTTTCTGCAAGAAGCATATATACTCTCCGCACTATCTCTTCTAACTTTTCTTTCACTTTCCCCTCATTTCTGCTAAGGAACCAGCCCCTACTACCACTGCGTACACCTCGGCGACCTCGTGCCGCAGAGCGCGTCCAGGTGCTTCCTCTTCGCATGTCTTTTGCATCAGAAGCCGCAGCCCGGCGTATGCCCGGCGTGAGGTCTTTGTTCGTGTTCGGCCCTTCTTTGAGGAAGACCTCGAGCCGCCCAGCAGAGCAGAAGGGAAGACAGAAGGGACTCAGAAGCTATGAGCGGTTTGGGCTTACGAATCCGAGGAATGAAGATTTCGCCCCTCGCTCCGACGGTTTGTGTCGCTATGTACCGGAGGTCGTTTTTTGCGGCTAGCACCCACAGAGAAGCTCATGTTGCATCTGCCTTCGCAAAGGACGTGGTCTCTGTCTCAGATGAGCGCGTGATCCTGCACAGTTGTATGTTCGAGGCGGACTTGAAGACGCTTGTCCTGCAATTACGAGTGTTGAACGACCCGGGATCAAGCACGGGCTAGCACAGGGCAGGACGTTTGGCTGGCGGATACCGCTTAGCTTTGCCATGGCTCAGCTCTAGGACCCCGTCTGTTGTGCGTCACATCTTCGGCTTCGACCGCGTCTTCGGAGCCTTCGCCTGCAAAGCCGTTGCGAGGAGGAAGGAAGAGGTGCTGCACGGCACCGCACAGCACCGCACCGCCAGGTCACATGGTCAGCAACCGCTGCGTCTACGAGCAGGCGAAAGAAGTTAGGGTTAGCCTTATGTAACTCCCGCTCCCCCCCGCTAACGCCTTACACGTTTTATCCCTAGGGTCCCCCCTACACTTCCCAATATTCCTTATCAAAATCACCGTTTTTGACATCCCCGCCTCGCCCGATTTCCTAGCAATTCTCCCCTAAATCTTTTGTTAAGGTTTTTTGCTGGGTATCAACATAATTTATCTTTACAAATATTATTGAAAAGATAAATTAGACGAGCTTCCTATTCTTTAACCTTCTTCACTATATACGTGTCTCCGTCTTTAGCGATATCGTAATATTCTAAAGTGCTTGGCTTGGGTTCTCTGATTTCTCCGTTGTTGAGTTTGTTGATATAGGTATTTCTTTTGTTTATGTATGATGTGTCTTTAATCGTAGGCGGTTTGTTTGAAAAAGAAGTTTGAGTATATTTGTTGTTGATTGTATTAACTAGCTTGGTGTCTAGGTTTTGTATGGTGTTAGTCAGGTCTCTCAGTGCGGTCTCTAAACCTTCAGTCATATATATGTTAAACTGGATATTTTTAAAAGTTTTGTTTTAAAACTTTTCTTTGTTACTTGCTGCACAGTTACATCTCTTACAATATGCGACGCAGTTCTCTATCGTGTGGCACATATCATTATTTAATCGTTGAGCCGTTAAGTTCGTGTGTATGTTTCCCTTTATCGTTTTCAAACTAAACTCTATCCCGCATTTTACACAACAACCGCTTAACCTTTCCATAAGCCAGTCTGCCGTTATATAATGCTTATGTTCTACCTTTCTTTTTCCCGCGTGGTCTTGCTCTTTGTATCCCTTGACCTTTCGGCACATATAATTATACACGCAGTTTTTATTGAATATATCCTCTTTCACATCCGAGCTATACTTAAAGAAATGAACCTTATTTAAATCGGTGCATCTGGTAATTGCTTTATATATCCATTCCTTGGTAACCCTCCAGTGGTTATAATCAAATATCGTTATAGCGTCATCTATGCTACTGCCTTGGACGCTGTGACATGTATAGCAGGATGCGAATATGAAGTGCTTCCTTAAAATATCTGTCGGGACCTCTTGTGATTTCTTATTTACCTCATCACATAAAACCACCGTTTCGGGATTTATGTTTTGGATGACATACCTGAAGTTCACGTTAAACTTATACCTCGTCGTTTTTAAATACTCTCTGCATATCATCACCTCGCCTACCTCGTATTCGGCCGTTCTGTTTTCCGTTTTTCTTATCTCGCTCGCTACTTCCCTACATGTGTCGTTCAGATATGCTATAGTGTTTTTGTTCAGGCTTATCGCCTTCGTGTATTTAAAGTATCGTTCGATTAGCTCCTTGGGTTTTACGTTGTTTATAAAGATGTCGTCGTATATGTTCGCTAGTTTTTCTTTATCTTCCTTGGTCTTCAGTCTCTTGCATTCTTTTAGGTAAATGCCGTATTTAAAAATCTGGTCTATACACGAGTTCATGTAGGGTTCGTGTTCCTGTATGTTGGTAAGCTCATTTACCGGCTTTAGTTGTTTGCCGTCCCCGGTTCCTATAATTATCAGGTCGGGGTGTTTTTCTACGAATTCCCTTATTCTGTTTAACACCCCGAGCCCATTAAAATAAACCTCGTCGACTATAGCGTCGCATCCTGTAGGATCTATTGCCTCGAGTTTTTCTTCTCCTACTGCTATACCGAAGAACTTATTTACCGTGACAGCTTCCTTCCCGTATTTTTGAACCAGCTTGTTAGTGGGACAAACGAATAAAACCCTCATGTCCATCTCTCCCATTCTCTCGCATATATACGACTTGCCCGACCCAGCGTATTTAGCCCTTATCATGACATGCTTAGCCTGTGTTATTTTTCCTATGATGTCCGGCATATCGTATTCGTCCTGTATCTTCAGCTCCACATTTTTATGTGTGGTTATTCCTACGGCTTCGTTCGTTTTGGGCTCATACATTTCCGAAGGAAGCAACACCCCTTCGGTTTTGCTTATCCTCCAGTTCCCTATCCCCCCTTGTTCTGTTTTTAATACCTGTTTCGCCTTCTCCTCGTCGTTTTGACTTATGGTGAAGGCATCCGTTTTTACGCTATAAACCTGTATCCTGTTATTAAGTAGCTGTTGATAATCCTGATACATTTTGAAGTTATGCCCCTGTAACAACAGCTCTTTTATGTAAATAAACCCGTTTTTAAGTTGCGATTTATCTGGTATATTCACTATGTAATACGCTTCTCTTTCTTCTTTTACGTTGTTGTTCACCAGAACCTCGTCCTCTGTTTCGTACATCTCCTCTGATAATTCGTAGTCTGTGAGCTTGTGTATTTTCCCCCCGTGCTTGGCTTGGAAATCGCAGGCCTCCTGAAGGTTTTTAAATACTATGCTTTTTTGGTCCGTGCTCCCCGTCTTCTCTAAAAGACCTATATTAACGTTTGAGATGAGCTTTTTAACCAGCTTGTCTAGATGCTCGTCGTCGCTTATTTTCTTTCCCCACAGTTCCCCGATAAGGTCTTTGTAATTAACCCTGTGAATGAACGAGGGGACCTTATAATACATTATGTTAATGCCTGTTGTGTTAAGTTGCTTTAGATACTTCCCGTATACTAAGTTGAACCTCTTGTTAAACATGATTTTTAAATCGCTCGGTGCCTCCACGAAATACAGCGTGTAATCAGATAGCTCCATATAATCCACATGTTGGTATGTTTTCCACTTGTCGAATTGGTTGAATACAGGGACTTCTTCGATATCCGTAAGCCGTCCCGTGAATGCCTTTGATATGTCGGCTTCTACTATTTTCTCAGGAAAGCATTTTTTCTTAATAAACAGTCCCGAGGGTATTATGGTTTTCGTCTGTTCGTATATATTGAGGTCCTCCTCGTTGTAAAAGGACTTGTGTAACGGATTAAATAGGCCTTTGTTGAACTCGAACATCGCCTTGTTCATATTGTTGTAGGTCTCCTCGTCGTCTATCGTTATGTTTCCGTCTGCCGTGTCTCTTATTAGGTTCTGTGATTTTATTATAAATCTCGTCCTGTTGAAACGGGCTTTTATTTGCGTCACTATCCCCGCCTGTAATGTTATTGATGGCTCGTATCCCACCCCGACCATTTCGAAAAATATTTCTGTGAGGTTGTTGTTTTCAGGTATCATGTATTTCGTGACCGTTTCTTTTTTCTCGCCTTTTGCTTTCGGTTGCTCTACGTGTTTCAGCAGGTCGTCGGCGTTTCTGAACATTATGTATTGTGGTGGTTCTTCCTTTTCGTTTAAATGATAATCGACGGTGGCCTTAACTATCAGCTTTTTCCCGTTCCCTCCCGTTTGTTCTAAGCTCTTTATGTCTTCGTTAAATGTGTATATGTGGCTGTTCTTCACCAATGCGAAAAAGGGCTTGATGTTATATTTCGATGTTTCGGGGTCGTGCCTGTAAATGATATTTAAAAACTGGTCGTATATCCTCGCGGGTATGTTAAACTCTCTGAAGACCTTGTCCATATCGGATATACTGGCGCCTTTGCTGTAAAAATCGTCCCTTCCCGTGATTTCCATAATCCTATCTACCGTTAATCTCTTCCTCCTGCGGTCGTCCATGACAGTATCGCCGTAAAAATCCACGAGGGCGTTCTTCCAACATTGATTTTTAGTGTGCCCCGTTTTTTCCATAGCTCCCTTTAAGTATCCCATATGGGGCTTTACCTCTGTTAAAACATACCGATGATAAATGGATACATTTTCCCCTGCATCTGTTAAATCTTCCTTCATTATGTCGGTCCTCTCCCCGTTTTGCTTTACCAGCTCTACCCCTTGTATTTTAATAGCATCGAAGACGTTGTCGTAGTATGCCGATAAGTGTTCCATCAGTTCCTTAAAATCCTTGTCTGTGCTCATTATCTTAATCAGTTCGTCAAACTCGGGATTTGGGACCTTATCCGATGTCGTGCTGTCTAAAATCGGGTTGTCTTTGTATTTTTCAATCAGTTCGTCGTATCCCGCTTCTCCTTTATAAAAGTGTCTAAAAATCATCTTTTTAATCCACGTTTTATTAAAATCCTTTGCTTTTACCGTAGCCTGTCTAATGTCCAAGTTCTCTATGTAGTAGTAACGCCCACCTTTAATAAAAGCAGGTTTAATCTTCATATTTTTAGGGTCTCTGATGTTATAACACTGGAAATTAACTAAATAGGTGTCTTTTTTATTCTTCTCCTTGGTCTCTGCCATTCTTTCTTTTAAGGGCTTGCCCTTTTTCTTTAGGTCTTTTATCTCCTCGTTGTATTTGGTAAAGGCTTTGTCGTAGGTCTTTTTGTTCTTTGACGTCAAGCCCTTTATTGGATTTTCGGCCGTGGCTACGTTGCTGATTTTCCTGTCGCCGTATAGCTTGATGATTTCATCTATCCTCTTCTTTGTTGTTTTGTTCGCCTCCTTGGCGGTCTTCTCCTTCAGCTTGTTGAGATTGTTCAGGTTACTCTTAATAAACTTGTTCATATATTAACCTAGATATATATTATATTATAAAAATATTTCTTTAAATACTTTTCTAAAGATTTTTTTTATTATTTCTATTTAAATCTTCAGTAACTCAAACCTCATATATGGGCGACTGCTCCCCTTTACATAAAATAAACTTGCTCTGTTCTTCTGCTCTATCCTCTCTACTTCCTGTATCTGTGGTAACCATTGGCTCACTCTTTCTTTCTCCCCAGGTTTCCTTTTTCTGTAAATCTTAACCTTATCGCCTACTGATATATTAGGGTAGTTTCTGGTTCTTACCGCTTGTTGATACATGTTGTTTCTCGCCTTCAGTTCGTTCTTCTCCTTCATCGCTTCCTTCGGTGTCATTTAAATAGCTGAGTGTTCCATTTTATTATTGTAGGTAAGCAATACTTCAAAAATATAATCTATCCATTGAATATTTTCTTTTCCTTTCTTCTCGTCTGCTTCAATTCTTGTATAAAGCATATCCTTAAAAGTTCTAATAGCTCGTTCGCTGTGGTTCGCG